ACCTTCTGGCATATTAAAAGTAAATTAAGCGGGACCAGCAGATGGCATAATGGTTACATTACTGGACTCCCACATTGTTGACCACAGTTCATGACTTAAAACTCACGTTGGGTGTATGTTCACACGTGCCCAAAATCCTGAGGAGAATGGAGGAGAGGGGATCATGGCATGCCCATATTCCCTGGGGGTGATTTCTCGCCTTCTGTCTCTCTCTGTCTCTTCAGAGAGTACATATTCCCTATAGCAAAAATCTCTCTCTCTCTAAAAAAAAAGGATAAACTAATTTTTCAAATAATTATTTATTTTTTTTATTATTATTTTTTAATTTGCTATAGGACGTGTGCACACCAGAGAGAGACAGAGAGTGAGAAGAAAGTGAGAACACAAGCCAACTGGTCTGGGTCTTGAACCCTAATTGGCCCCGTGGGAGACGAGCACCCTAATCACCATGCCCCCTACTGGTTCCAAGTAATTAATTTTTTAGCTGACAGGTGGCATGGTGGTTAAAGGTGCTGGATTCCCGTATGGTTGACCACGGTTCAAGTCCTGGACCTGACAGCTTACTTCCTCACTTTCCCTTTCTCTCTCTCTGTCTTTGTTTGGTCAAATTAAAATAATAATAATAATAACAAATGGAATAAGACAAATAATTCTTTAAAAATGTGTATTTTGTAGATGACATATAGGTAGATTTGCTTTTTAATTCAACCTCACAATCTCTGACTTTTGCCTGAAATACTTACTTCATTAACATTTAATGTAGTCATTACTATGATTAGATTATTTGAGTCATTACAGTTTCCTATATGCTCCATGTCTTTTTTGTACCTCTGTTCCTCCTTTACTCCTTTCTTGGCTTAAGCCAATAATTTTGTATAGTATTTTAATTCCTCATTTGATTTTTTTTAAATTGCCAGAGGGCACATGCACTTGCCAGAGAGAGAGAGAGACAGACAGAAACAGAGAGACAAAAAGAAAGAGAGGGAGAAAGCACTTCCAATGGTGCATGGTCCAGCTGCAATTCTTTCTACTCCATTTCCCCTTCCTGTCAGGATTCTGGGAAGCACACATGCCTATCATGTTTTTCAAGCCACCAAGGCCACGATTCAAAGCGCAGTTGGCTATGTGAGATCTGACTCTCTCAACCACTAAACTAGTGGCCAACCCTTCTCAATTGGTTTTTAAATTGGAATTTTGAGTTAATGTCTTAGCATTTGTTCTAGGAATCACACTATGCATTTCAACATATCAAAGCTTACTTCAAGTTAAATTGAACTTAATCCAGTAAAACATAACAACTTTGCTTCAACATAATTCCATTTTCTCCCTACTCTATCCTCACTTTTGTGCTATTAGTGTCATATATTACCACATTTATACACGTTATGACTCCCAAAATACAGTTGCTTTGTATGTTATTATATCGTTTAAAGAAATAATAGAAGAAAAAAATTTTTTTCCCTTTTTTTGGAGAGGTTTTTTTCTTATTGGGTGCATGCGCTCGCCAGAAAGACAGAAAGAAAGAGATAGAAAGCGAGAAATCACCCCCTAGAGGGGATGGCCACGCCACAATCCCTTCTCCACCATTCTCCTCTCAGGATCTTGGGCACGCACGCACACATGCCCGGTGTGAGTTTAAGCCACCAGGTCCGGGACTCCAACCGCAGTTGACTACATGGGAGTCCAGCGACATAGCCATTATGCTAACTGCTGGTCCCTAGAAGAAAATTTTTAGAAATGTGTTTTCATTAAGACTTTTGAAGTGACTGGCAGGTGGCATAGTGGTTGCTGGGCTCCATATGGCCAACCAACCATGGTTCAAGTCCCAGACCTAGCAGCTTCCTTTCTCACTTTCTCTCTCTGGTCAAATTAAAATAATGATAATACTAAATAAAATAAAATTTTTTTTTTTTTTAAAAAGACTTTTAGGGAACCAGCAGTTAGCGTAATGGCTATGTCGCTGGCCTCCCACGTAGTCGACCGCGGTTCATGTCCCAGACCCAGTGGCTTAAAACTCACGCTGGGCGCGTGTGCGTGCGTGCCCAAGATGCCAAGAGGAGAATGGAGGAGAAGGAATTGCGACGTGACCATCCCCTCTGGGGGGTGGTTTCTTGCTTTCTGTCTCTCTGTCTCTCTTTGCCTGTCTGGCAAGCGCATGTGCCCTATAGCAAAAACAACAACAACAACAACAACAAAAAAAAAACTCCAAAAAAACTTTTACAATTACCTACATATTTAACATTTTTAATTTTCTTTATTTTTTTTATCAACCAGAGTAGTTTTCTTTCATCTAGAAGGACTTTGTTTAGTGTATTTATTAAAACAGGTTAGCATGATCTTTGTTTATCTGAGAAAACTCTTTATTTTACTTTCATTTTTGAAGTATAGTTTTGCTGTATATAGAATTATTGGCTGTTGTTTCTTTCAGCATTTTGAATATTTCATTCCACTGCCTTCTGGCCTTCATTGTTTCTAATGAGAATTTAGCCATTGCTTGTATTCTTGTTCTGCTGTAGATTATTCAATTTTCTCTTAACTGCTTTCAAGATTTTTCTGTGCTTTTTGCTTTCAACAGCTTGATGTGATTAAGTGGAGATTGCTTTGTGTTTTTCTACTTGGGATCCATCAGGATTCCTGAATCAGTAAATTAATGTTTTTCATCAATTTGGGAATTTTTCAGCCACTACTTGTTCAAATTTTTCTCCTGCCCTTTTTCTCTCTACTCTGATTTTAGAATTTTCACTACAGCTGGGTGCTTTATGTTTTCTTGCAGTTCTCTTTGTTTTTTCTTCAATCTTTTTTCTCTTTAGTCTTTAGACTAGAGAACATTCTATCTATTCGCTGTATTCACTGATTTTTTTTTCCTGATATCACAAATCTACTGCCAATCCCATGTAATCGATTCTTTATTTGGTTACTGTATTTTCAGTTCTAGAACTTTCATTTGGTTCTTTTTAAAATTCATTTGGTTCTTTTTAATTATATTTTTTTATTGATAGTCCTACTTGTTGAGTCATTTTCATAATAGTTTCCTTAAATTCCTTAAACATGGTTTCCTTCCATTTTTTGAGCATATTTAAAATAGCAACTTTGAAGTCTTTGTTAAATTCAACATCTGGACCACTCAAAGACTTTAGCCACTGACATTTTCCCCCTGACTATGGATTACACTTTTTTCTCTTTTTGCATGACTCATAAATTTTTGTTCTAAATTGGATATTGTTACAACTCTGGATTTAGTTTTCTTTTTATTCATTGAGCATCTTGGTTGTTTCTGCTTTGTATTTGTTTATAAGTTGTCCAGACTTGATCTACAGAATCTGTCACCCTGCAGTTTACATCTGCTTATAATTCTACTCAGGTTAAAAAACCAAAAAAAAAAAAAAAAAAAAACCTACTGGGTGGGGGATTGACTACTTATGAGTCACCTCTGTCTGCATAGCTTAGTAGTCCCCTGGTCAGAGGCTGCATTCAGTCATGACACTCTCCTGCTGGTGGATCTGTGTTTAAATTCGGGAATGTATTGGGTTGTCAAAAAAGTCATGACATATTTTTTCTATGTTTTTCTAGGCAAAAATGTGTCATGACTTTTCTGACAACCCAGTATTTAAATTTGGGGCAGTTTTCAACTCTGCCACAGCTGTTACTTTACATGCCTTCCAGGGCTGCTATGCAGTCACCTAGGCTCCCAGACAGCCAGGTACTGGAATGTTTGGAACGTTTACCAAGCCCTCAATGCTCTCTCATTTTTAGCATCTTCCTGTTAAATTCTGACTGGCCCACTATTGCTCATCCCAGTAAGGATTGCAATTTCAAGCTAGGAAAATCGCAAACTTTTCCCACTACTGGGGCTGTGGGTTTCTCCTCTTCACTCCGAAATCAAGTTGAAAGCCAGTCTTGTCCTGGTAGAACAACCATGCTGACTGGGCTAGGAGGGACGGTGGAAACGGTCCTAATGAGAACAGTAAAAATCACACTGTTTTGCCTGAACCTCAATGGTTTTTCTATGCATATAAGTTTCCCAATTTGCTGTTTGTCTATGACTTATTTCCAGAGCCCTGAAATAATTGTTTTTGATAATCCCATTCAGTTTGACAGCTGTTGGGGGAAGCTGTTGGAATTTACTTTCTCACTCCTTCACAACTGGAAGTCCAAACTATATACAATATATGTTCAAAGAAATGCATTTTATTTTTTTAAATCATGACATCTCACTCATCTAGATATAAATGAGTACAAATAAGTAAAGCTAAATTTAGAAAAACAGCAGTTTTTCAAAAGTGTGACTGACATTTTATCAGAAACAGAAAAGCTTTTTCAAAAGGCATTTTGAGGGACTAGCAGTTAGCATAATGGCTATGTTGCTGGACTCCCATGTAGTTGACCACAGTTTGCGTCCCCCAATCACTTAAAACTCATGCAGGGTGCGTGTGCATGCGTGCCCAAAATCCCGAGAGGAGAATGGAGGAGAAGGGATTATGGCATGGCCATCCCCCCTGGGGCGTGATTGCTCACTTTCTGTTTCTCTGCCTCTCTCTTTCCAGCGCATGCACCCTGTAAAACAAACAAACAAACAAACAAAACCAACCAACCAAACAAAAAAAACTCTCCAAAAAAAAAAAAGAGAGAAAGAAAAAGGCGTTTTGAGATAATTCTTAAAGGTTTCAAGTCTTTGATTTGAAAAAAATCTGTTTATCTGCATAGCAAGCGTCTCATATTTTCACAGCAGGAAATTATTTCAACCATTTAATGTGGCAACAATCACATAAATGAACTGGAGACTAAATTAAAGAATTCCAATTTTTTTCCTGATCCTGGTTGTTATTGAGACATGAAATAAATATTTCCCTGATGTCCCGTGGGAGGTGGAGGGAATTTTGAGGTCATCATTTATATATTTGCCACCGTCTTTTAAATGGATTCAGCTGTGATGCCTATGTCTGTAAGAAAAGGTAAGTGTTTGCCTGAGAACCAAGGCTGTGCCCATTTCAAGCTCTCAGTCAAACCACTTCCAACGGGTTCTTTCTAGCACGCTCCTTCTTTCCAGCCCATTCCTCTTCTCCCTGGTTCTGCTGAGGATGTGGAGAGATGAGGAGCAGGATCAGGATGACATCTAGGCCTGGTCTCAGAGTCCGCATGGTCACCTGAGGAGAACTGAGGTATCCCAGGATACTGGGAGCAGAACAGAGCTCTGCCTCTGAAGAAGATGAGGACATCTGTAGAAGGCTATTCTGCAAGAACTACCACACACCTGCCTCTGTTCTGAAGTTCTCCATCTTTGTTTTTCCTGCACACTCGGTTTTTCATCACTGTCTACCCCATCTTTCCCTGAGTCTCACTGTCTGCTAAAGAGGAGTTCAAAGGGGGCTGGCAGTCTGGAGTGGGGATTAAGGGTTCTGGACTCCCCCATGGCCAACCATGGTTCAAGTCCTGGACCTGGTGGCTTGTTTTCTCATTTTTCTTCCCTCTTTCTTGCTCTTGCTCTTGTTCTGTTCCTCTCTGGTCAAATTAAAATAAATAAAGTTACATAAAATAATTCTTTAAAAAAAAAAGAGGAGTTAGAAGGTTTACTTTGTCTCATCAAAGCTAAGAGCATCAAATAACCAGTTTGCATCTTCAGCTGAACAATTCCCAGTCCTAGACACTTTCACTTCTAGATGTTTCCTGTTTTGTCGTCTTCATCCTGGCCTGCCCAGGCCTGGGAGAAACTATGCTTCTCATATCACTCCCCTGCTCAGGACCTGGTTGGCTCCTTACAGCCTACCCAGGCCAGGTCCTCCAGCTTCCCGGTCTTCCATGATCCAGCCTACTCCCACTGACTTCTTAACTGGAAGACATGGTGGCCAAGAGATGAGGGAAAAGGTGAAGACCAGTCATTTAGGCTGGTGTGACCCTAAGGGACTGCACTGGTAACAAAAATGGCATAGGTTTTAATAGCATAAAAATGCTTTTTACATGAAATCAGTAACAGAAACATTCAGAGTAAAGCATCTTTTAACAGTAATCATGGGAGTGATTCAGAATTAGCAGACCCAGGATGTGGACATGAGCTCAGAATAGCATCTCTGGTGCAAAATCTATGACTCCACCCCACAGAGTAGAAGCTGTCTGGTCTTTTCTCTCCACTTTCTGTCCTGGCATGGCACGGTTATGGACCAAAGTGTATCACCCAACAGAATCTGTTGTAGTACTAACTCCCTGTACCTCGGAACATGACCTTATGTGGAAACGGGGTCACTGCTGATGCGATCAGTTAACATGAGATCACAGGGTGGGTCCTCAGCCAGTATGACTCTCATAGTCGTTACAAGGAAAAGAAAGCAGCTGCTGGCTGCCGCCCATCAGGACGGTGGGGAGATGGAGGAAGTGGTTATGGGACAGAGACAAACGTGGGGAGCTGTCTTGCGGTCCCTATCCTGCATCCGAGTCACCATGAAGAGTTCCCCACCACATGGTGTGCATCTAACAGGAGGCCACAGCATTCTTTGTTCCGTATCTTGCCCTTCAGACATGGCAGGGGAAAGGGAGAGAAAGCACCGACTTACAGTGAATTAGCAAATACTGTAGAGGGATCCAAGACTTTCCAGTTTATTACAGATATATTACCCAAGATTTTAGCTAGTAAATAACTAAAAATGCTTAAGAGGAGAGGAGGGAAGATGATGACGATGATGAAACCAAATCTTAAACCAAAGAAAGAACTGCCTTAAGGGCCAGCCGGTGGTGCAGTGGTTATAGGAGCACAATCCATTGGGCTGGCCTCGCTGTTTGTGTCCATGTGTGGCAGCTTGAAAACATGTCAGTGCTTGTGGTGCCCAAGACCTCAAAGGAGGGGGAAATGGAGAGGGGATTGCCACAATGCCCAGTACTTTTTCAGACAGGGTCTCACTATGTTACCTAGGCCAGCCTCAAGCTTACGATCCTCTTGTCTCAGCTTCTCAAGTCCCTGGGATTACAAGCTCATGCCACCATGCCCAACTTCTAAGTTGGACCTAGAATTGAATCCAGGCCTCCTATGTGGTCCCAGCCTGTGGAGCAGTGTCTTAGCAGAACTCGCCACCTAGGCTGGGCTCATGTCTGTGATTTTGTCATTTCAAGAATGGAACTATGTAATATGTAACCTTAGGGAAGGGACTCTTTATCTCTTAGCATAATTGTCTGGAGATTCATCAGGTCATTGCCTGTATCAACAGTGTGTTCCTTTTTATTGCCAAGTGGTATTCCGTGGCCTGGATGTCCCACCATATGTTTTACCATTCACTTATTGGAAGACATCTGGGTTGTTTCTAGTTTGGGGTTATTACGAATAGAGCTGTTATAAAAATTCCTGTGTAGGTTTTTGTATGAACATAAGCTTTTTTTTTTTTTTTTTTCTGGAGAGGTTTTTGCTATAGGGTGTGTGCGCTCACCAGAAGAACAGAGAGACAGAAAGCGAGAAATCATCCCCCAGGGGGATGGCTATGCCACAATCCCTTCTCCTCCATTCTCCACTAGGGATCTTGGGCATGCACGCACACACGCCTGGCATGAGTTTAAGCTGCCGGGCCCAGGACTCAAACCATGGTCAACTACGTGGGAGTCCAGCGACATAGCCATTACACTAACTGCTGGTCCCAACATAAGCTTTCATTTATCTGAGATAATGCCTGAGAGTATAATTGCTGGGCCACATATTATTGGGTCATCAGAAAAGTCATGAGGGACCAGCAATCATGACTTTTCCAATGACCCAATAGCTACACATATACTTTTTAAAGAAACTCTGGCCATTCTATTTTAAATTACAACCTCTGCTTCCCACTCACATCAATATCTCATACCATTTACCCTGCTTACCTTATAGGAGGACTGATGCGGACAGACATCAGATCTGAAATCAGACCTTGAACCAGCATCCTCCATCAGGGGAATGCTTCTGGGATCACCAGAGCACAGTGAGGCCAATGTGCCCATGACTTTAATGTGGTTACTATGGTAAGACAGAGTGGTGCATGAATTCCCCAGATGAAGCTATCTGCCGGATTTACAAGAAAATTGTGTCTGGGGTCAGTAGGTGGAGCGGAGGTTAAGGTGCTGGACTCCTACATAACTGACCACAGTTTGAGTCCTGGACTTGGTGGCTTGAAAATCACATCAGACACATGGGCATGAATGCCCAAAATCCCAAGAAGAGAATAGGGAAGAAGGGATTGCAGCATGGACATCTCCCGCCTTGGGGGTGACTTATAACTTTCCCTCTCACTGTCTCTTTTTGTCTCTCTGGCAAGCACATATGCCCTATAGTAAAAACCTTAAAAAAAAGAAAGAAGAAAGAAAGAAAGAAAGAAAGAAAGAAAGAAAGAGAGAAAGAAAGAGAGAAAGGAAGAAAGAAAATCATATCATTTTCCAAAGCCATATTAGTGCCATCCCAAAATAAAACTTACTACTGCAGGAAAGTTTTAACTCAGAAACTCTCCTGATTTATGAGCTGACTAAGCAGGGCTGCAATCCAAACAGAGCTCCACCTCCCCAGCGGTGCTTCCAGGCCCCCGTCAGTCTCAGGAGAGGGAATTTTTTGCCAATGATCAGAAAAAAAAATCTAGTAAGAAATGTTCCGAGGGCCTAGAAACAGGGGAATTAAGACAGGACTGTATTTCATAGTGAAAAGTGAAATCCAAATAAACAAAGCTCCCTGTCACAGCATCCGGCCAGCTCAGTTGTGGAAGTGACTGGCAAAAACATTTCTTCACTGGGTGGAAGCCTCTGGAAGAAATCCAGAATCTTATTTACATGACCTGACTGGGGGATGAGGGGGGTTGTTGTTATTATTATAACCATAAATTCATCTATTTCTCAATACCTTGGTTTCTTTTGTTTTGACCATTTCCTTGACATTTGTACCAACTAGGTGAAAGCTGGAAGAAGTGACAAACTGACACTGTAAAATAACACTTGGCCTGACTCAAAATGGAAATGCTTATAGTGTTTCCACTAACGCCAGATGATGTCAGCCCCACTATTGTGCCGCTTTTTTGAAAACACCCTGGGCTGAATAAAACTTCACAAACAATCTAAAATGAGCCAAGACTCTTAGGGGCTGTTTCCTCCATAAACACCCTACCCCTCTGTGCCTGGGCCCTGGCAGCTAGAGCCTGTGAGCATCGATTGGCGCATGTCAGGAGCGTGGTGGCTCTGAATGCTGGGAACTCGCATGTCCTGTCATCTGTCGGGAAGCCACAGACTGGAAGACAGTTGGGTATCACTGTGCACAAGTGTCATGTTACTGCTGTACCAACAACCCGGTGCAAGGGACTTGTCGCCTCTGCACTTGGACTCCCACTACTCCTTTTCCCCACTTCTCTTCTCTACTCTGATCTCCCTCACTTTATCCTTCCTTTTCCCCCCTTTCTTTCTGAATCTTTAAAGTGCTAAAAGAGAAACATTTGCAACCTACGATCTATAAACTACCAAAATATCTTCTTAAATTAAGACAAAATGTGCTGATTAAGGTGGCTGGATCCCACATGGCTGACTGCACAGTTCAAGTCTCAGATCCAGCAGCTTGAGAAACACAATGTGCGTGCATGCCAGAAGTCTCAAGAGAAGAATGGAAGAGAAGGGATTATGGCATGGCCATTCCCCCTGAGAGGGTGCTTTTTCACTTCCTCTCTCTCTCCCTCTCTCTCTTCTCTTTCCAGCAAATGCACACATCCTATAGCACATTTCTGAAAAATATTAAGGCAAAACAAAATGGGGAGGGTAAACAAAAGGCAAGAGTCATCTCTAACAGATTCACATGACAAGAAATACTGAAGAAAATCCTTAAGGCTAATTTTTAAATGGCATCAGCTTGAACAAGTTAACAGAGAAAACACAGTTTCAAACATCAATAATAAAAGGAGTTCATCACTATTAATCCTGCAGACATAGACAAGATTTTTGAATAGCTTTATCTAAAAAAGAGAGAGAGAGAGAGAGAGAGAGACAACTTAGATAATATAGACAAATTCCTGTATTGTGATTTTTGTTCTTACTTTTCCCCCCTAATTTGGTGTTGCATCTTCTCTCTCTCTCTCTCTTTTTCAGTTTATTTTTTTTTCTTCCCTGAATGACAGAGACAACGAGACAGGTGCATCCAGCAGGGTTTCAAATATGATCTAACCTCCAACACCCGGTTTCAGCCAGTCCCAGATCATGAGCACACATATGTACGCACAG